GGGCAGGCCCGGCCAGCGAGCAGGGTCCTCCTCGGCCCGGCCAGCTTTCGCTCCGCGCAGGGCCCGCCGTGCCGGCCGCGAGGGTCTGCAGCGGGGCTCAGGGCCGCGGGCTCCCGGGGCGCCAACTGACGCCTCCGCTTGTAGGTTACCAGACGCCCCAGGACGCGCTAGGCGCTGACGCGGCAGCCAGGGCAGGCTCCACCTTCCGGCCCACCGACGCGCACGAGTACGCCCTGCCCCTGGCGCGCGCCAGGCCCGAGTACGCCACGCCCATCGCCACGCCCCAAGACGGCCACGTCCCGGGGTACCTCGCGCCTGCGGCTGCGTTCCCCCGGGGCCCGGGCTACGACCAGCCGCGGGCCGCGGGCGCGGATGGGGACGCGCGTAGGGGCCGCCTACCGTGAGCTGTACCACCGACCGCAGGGCGGGGCGAGCGAGCGACCCCTCCGAGCGCGCTGCCGCGGAGCACACACGATGTGCGTGGGGCGCGGGGGCAGCTGGGGCGCGCGCGCGCGGCGGGCTCGGCCGTGCAGGATGCCGCGGCGACGCGGCTGGCGCGCGCCTGAGCGCCTCCTGGCCCCGGCCGGTCTTGTCCCCGGCGCCCGTGACGAAGACTCTGGAAGCTGGGGAGGCGCGCGGGGCTGGAGCGTCGCGACGGGGACCTTGGCCCGCCCGGTCTCGGACTTGCGAGCCCGCGGGCGCGCACGGGAGGCTTGTGTCCGCGGAGGAGCAGACGTCGCGGGATGTGCTCCGAAAGGAGACCCAGGCTGAGCCTAACCAGACCTTTCACCCGGCTCTGAAGGGAGGGAACGGCTGGTTTTGAGGAAATGCGGTCCCGGGGTCTCTGGCCTGGGATCGCCTGGGCCCGCTGGACCCAGCCGGACCTCTCGGTTTGCTTCGTCAATAACTGTGAGTTACCTTTTTAAAAGAGGGACTTGCGTGCTTTGTTTTGTAATAGAAAATATGGGTCCAGAAGTCCTTGCTCTAAAAAAGCATTCTTTGTACGGACTCCACGGCCTGAAAAGCGGTGCGCCTGCAGCGCGGGCGCGGGTTGGGCGTGGACCCTAGCGAACCACTCTCATCCTGTAACCAGGCTCTCTTGAGATGAAGTCTGTCTCAGAAGAGTGTCGAGCCATTTTTTTTTTATTTCACATTTTATTAGATAATTGAAACAAATCCAAACAGTTTAAAATTTTAAATCAAAGCACATTCTGTTTCTTTTAAAGCTCGCTCCAGAACCTGGAAAGACCCCCCTACTAGGCTTTCTGTAAATAAGGCCTCTGGGCCTTGGTCCACGTGGTAATAATTATATTCATTTCCTGCCCCTTTTTTTAGGGGTTGTAGGAAGCCTTGGTTGAAGCTAGGGGCCCCTTACTGGGTCTCCCACGGTGTCCAATGTGGGTGGGGGGAAGCTTTTAGTGTCTGAATAAAACCTACACTGAACCAATCAGAAATTTGCTACTTTCAGTCTCATTTGCTTAAATTTAAGCTCATCCAATCAAAAGGCACTGTTCCTGATTATTTACATGTAACCAGAAGCCACGTGAGCTTCCCAGTGGGACAGTTGACTGATGTGAGGCCAACTAAGTGACTAGGACAACTTTCCCCGTATCTCCTTTAATATGAATTTTGGGCACAGAAGACCCCTTTCCCTATCCTCAGGGCCGCCGGAAGCCTTTCCATCTGGGGCTCTCATTCAGCAATCTGCTTCCGAACGCACGCTTTCGGCGCCTTCCCCAACTCTGTTGCGGACTCCAAGGCCCTGGAAAGCAACCCCGCAGGACCTTCCACCCGGCGCCAGGAGGACCCAGGCTTCTCCCCCAGGTCGCGCGGGTGCCATTTCAGAGCAAGCAGACTCCCCTGGCCCGAGCACAGGCGTGTCCCTTTGCCTTTGCCCAGCACACCTGCGCTTTGCATCCCAAACAGAAGCGGCCTTGGGGAGGCGGCCGGGAGCCGGCTCTTCATGTCGCCACTTTGGAGTTGGGCTGTTTTCCGAAATTCAGCACTTCATACTGGGCTCCGGGTGGAGAGCCCCGTCTGGGCAGTGGTCCCGGCCGGTGGCACCATGCACGGAACCTGGGTTGGACTTGTGTTGGTTCCAGGCCCTGACAGGTGAAACATTTGGGACCAGTTCATAAGCCTGAGCCTTTTCTCGGTATGGAAAACGGTGCTGCACCCACCCCAGCAGGGCCTTAAGTTCCTGACGCTGAGCCAAGGACCCAACCAGCCGGCCCAGAGAACAGGCCTGCGGCTTCCTGGCTCTGTTGCGGAAAAGTTCAGGATGTGTCCGGTAGAGGCCCGAGAAGGGTTTATTAGGTAGAAACGCTACAGTAGAGCACTGGTGCTCCGAACTGGGACTGTGTGCTATCTGGCGATGGGAACCTGCAGCTTGGCGCTCGTGGCCTCCTCCGTGTGTGTGAGGGGCGGGGGCCCACACAAGGGTCTGTTCACAGGAGAAAGCCTATTTACAGGTGAGAAGTAAAAGGGCATTTGAGGAGGGAAAATGGGAAGGGAATTCCTTGGGGTGGGATAAAAGAGGACACAGTGTTAAACTGGGCTCAGGTCCCAGTGCTGCAGCTTGTATTTTAAAAATTATATTTTCCTTGTCTCTCTTCTACTTTTTAAAGTTTCTTTTGTCTTCCCTCACTTCCCACCTGAGACTTCAATCCCAGGTTTCAGGGGTCTCTCACTTTGTACCTGCTTCATGTCCAGGAGGGGCAGAGCCTGGCCAGCCAGGGTCTGAATGTCTTGTCCTGACGTGTCTGAAGGAGACACAGGAATGTTCAGTTCTGTTGGCCACAGAAACACCACCTTTGGACAGTGTAAATGAGGTTGGGGCAGATGAGACATCAGCCCACCATGACAGGGCTCCGACAGCATAAAGGGATTCCTGCCTACAGTATCACGGCCAGAAAAACAAGTTTTCCCACCAGGCTTGCTCCAGAGAACCTGAACACGAGTCAGGGAGGGAAGCAAGGCAGGACCTAACACTGCACGTACACAGACCTCCTTCGTGACGCAGGAGACGCGTTTGCAGAGCTGTCGGGAGTGTACACAGTCCAAATGGTAACAGGCTCCACCTCGTGCCGCTGTTCGAATATGTAGAGCTATTCGGTCCTATACCACGGCTTTTCTCACCATTTTTACTTAAAAATGTAACAAAATATGCTGTGCAGTGTCTTTTCAGGCCCTAAGAGGTTGAGTATGCCACCTTATGCCTTCAGGGTTTTTTTTTTTCCCCCAATTTATTTGGAACAGGGTGCCACTATGCAGCTCGAACTCGGTGATCCTTCTGTTTTCAGCCTGCCCAGTGCTGGGATTACAGACAAGTGTCACCATGCCTAGTGGTGGCCCACTCAGCACGCTCTGGGGCATGTGGTGCCAGGGATCCTTTTGGTGAATGAAATGGAGAATAACACCAATGAAAAACTAGTCTGGTCCACCAATGCCACAAGACTGAGCAGTGGTTTTAACCAAGCACCCTGAATCCACAGAAAACCTAATACATGTCTTTATATCCACCTTGAAAGCAACGGAGGATGTAGGTTTGTTCCACAGAACCCGGTACCATTTGGGGTGAGCCATCTTACGCCAGTTCTTACTTTCTAATCAGCTTCTCTCCACACAATAGCGAGATCAGAGCTTTGTGTAAGAACCCACTCCCTACTTTGGGTGGCACTGTCCCGTGTATTTGGGTCTCTCTGTTCCCAACAAGGGGTGCGTGCTGGCTGGCTGAGCTGCCCCCCCCCAAAGATGTCGGCCTTGTGCACTCCTGAAAATACACTGATTTCAAGTAGGAGATTACCTTTCATCAGGGGTTGTTGAGCAGTATGAGTACATGAGGGTTTCTGTATTGCCCTATCTGTATTAATTATAGCTAGAGGAAAATTCTTCCTCTTGGCCTTTATGAAAAGATGGACCAATGAGAGGCAGATACGGTAGCATGCTTCAAAACTGTTGTAGTCTGTAACTGAAAATTTTGAGATTACTCAGCCATCTTCCTAAAGAAGAGACATGCACCTGGGCAGCTCAGGTACTCTAGAGCCAAGAGCCGTCCTGGAACCCAGCGCACATCTCTGATGATGTTTCTGGCACGTTGCTGGGCCTAGTGAAGGAAAACATCAGTTTTTAAAAATAATCTTGTTGAGAAACAAATAGCAGTGAGACAGTTTCAAAACCAATCAGTAGGAGTTTCAATAATAAATACACTGTACTTTGTTGTCTCAAAAATATCAGTTCTTGCAGTGGAGAATAAGGGTTAAATAAAATAGAATTTTCCCAACTTTGATTTTAGCAGACACAGAATAGTTGTGAGGGGAGACAGGTAAGCAGAATAAATTTACCTAATTTATCCTGAATTGGTCTTCTTTTTCTTCTGGAATAGTTCCCTCAAGTCGCCAACCAGGTGTTGTATTCGCGTGGGGCTTCAGCCTGACACTAGCTGCCACTTGCTCCAGCAAGGGCACCCCACCTTGCTTTGGGTCATGCAGAGGTGGAGGCTCAACTTTTCCTCCTGGACTGTTGCAGAGGCAAAGGGAGCAAGCCCTTGTGACTTCCTGAATCTTAGATCTGGCCAGGGTCAGTGCTTCCCTCCCTAAATGCATAAATCCCACATTTCTTTATTAATTTTTCATTGGTCACCCTGAGGTTACAATACTGGGGTTTTTGGCAGAACTGGGGATTGAACTCGGGCCCTTGTGCTTGCCAGGGAAGCGCTTATTCTACTGAGCCATCTCCCCGGTCCCCACTGTGATTCTCTCTTCAATCCACTAGCTGTCTCTTGCTGGTTTATACCCTCACTGCCTTGCCCATCTTTCAAAGCTCTGAACAGGTAGCACTTGTGCTCAGCTTTGGGTGCAAGACTGTTAAAGCCACCTGCAGTGTGTCCTTCAGTGCTGCTTGCTTGGCACCCATCTGCTGAGGCATTTTCTGATCACAGAGAACCACCCTTCTGGTGTCACCGCAGTGCATCACTGCTGCCTCGGTGAGCAGCTTCTGGGAGGGAGCTGGGGGCTGTTTCTACCCAGGGTCCCCTCTCCCCATGTGGTCACATGAGCAGGAAGGACTCAGAACGCGTATCTGAGACAGTGCGGATGTTGACCTGCCTGCCTTTCCCAATTGTAAGGCCCAGATAACGTAACTGGGTTGAGGTGTCTGAAAGAAGTGGCTTTGTCTCACTCCCCTTTTGGAGGCTAACTGCCTACTGAGTCCCACTGCTCAGGCAGTGCCTTTCATGAGTGGGCCAGTCTGCGCTGGTGCTGAGGGTGGGCCTTCCGTATGGTCCCCGTGCAGGAGTGAAGCAGGCCGTCTCCCCCTGGGCAGGAAGCACGGCTGCTGGATGTGCAATGTGGCTCACTTTGGGAGTAAACTCTGGAGACTAACAGGAGAGCATGGCGTTTAATAGCCGTCCCCAGCTGCAAGACCTTGGGACCTGACGGGGGTCTGGACTACAGAGGGTGTGCTACAGTGAACCGAGCAGCTTCACCAACCAGGAATCCGGTAGCAGCCCCCACCAGCACACACGCAGGCCATCCGTGTGACACAGTCTATTTAGCAAAGTCAGCCACAAGGGGAGGAATCTCTCAACCTGTGAATGAGGAACCCCCTGGCTGGGCTCGGCCCTTGTGGCTGCTGTCCCAGTTAGTCTCTTCCTTGTGGGATAAACACCCAATACTCAAAATGAAGGAAGGAGAGGTCTATTTAGCTCACAGTTACTGGAGGTTTCTGTCCATACTCACCTGGCTCCAAGACAGAGC